ATGTCTTCCTAGATAATCTGGTGACCTTTTCCACTGAAAAACCAACATCCAGTATTTTTTGTTTGTAGGATATAGCCTTTTAGAAGGTCTGTTCAGGCCAATTTCACTTGATGGCAATAGACAAGGAAATTATACTTGGCAATCTAAATTCAGATAAACCATTCTGTTTGTTTGCTTCTATGCAAGCACCAAGTTGTGGACTATGAATGGAACGTAGGTTTTTGATATTATTCATAATCTGGGCAGATGTTTCACTGATGCTGAGTGTAGTGGTTTGTTAAACTTGCTGAGTCACTCAAACGAAGATAACGTTGATGGCAGATGGCAGACCTCGCGACGATGTGAACTGCCTGCTTACTCTGTTGAGTTCGAAAGAAACTTTCAAAACCACTGGGGAGAAACAATCAATTGTTTTATTGTGATATAACTTGTATGAATTATTTTTAGTTTATTCATTTGTCCTTATATATCGACAGACGACATTATAGTTTCTTTTCGTTTCGTTTTATTATACTGTTGAAATAAATGTTTACCTTTTCATAAAACGCGATTGCATCCTTCAAACACGCCGCGCGCGTGTTCTCATAGAAGATGGTTAGGAGGACGTGGAATGCTTACTTAGAATCATTCTGAACATCTCCACAACAATCAGTATACGATTTCATGATTCCATAGATGGTCTTTCGCGTATCATATAGGGGGGGATGCCTAGCTCGCGCTACACGCGTGAGTTGTTTCCATTAAATCCGAAACAAATCGAAGTGATGATAAATCTTTTCATTCCACTATCCAACCAATAGACGTGTTGCGTGCGGACGCTTTCAGCCAATCACTTATTATCGAGGAAAATCTTTGATGTTTGACGTCACTAACAAAAAGCGGTGAAGCGATACTACCAAAAAGATGTAATTCATCAGCGAATTTGAAACAAAATAACAGCCCGTTGACGAAAGAAAGAGCAAATCTTTTCAGCAACAGAAGCCATGTTCTGCCTTTGCAATTGGCTCACGGGAAACACGCGCAGACAAGAATTATTATTGCTGTACCGGCTTGCTTTCCACTATGTTTGGCAAATTCTGACTCCTGAAAGTGTTACACACGAAACCGGTAAGGTGACTGTTCTGAGGGAAAGCAATCCAAATAATTTGCAGTTCATCTTCAATTATCGTTTGTGACGTTTTATACACGTCCTGGTCGTAAATGAGTGAATCAAATGTATTTTCTGATTCAGTGAAAGAAAACCTTGTGGAAAATGGCGGGTAAGCAGCACTCAGATGCTTTTACTGGTTCCCATAAATCCGAAATCAAATGTGCATCCTGGGTGAAGCGGAGCATTAAGTAAGTGATCATGCAACACCCGAAATTTTCTTTCAAGTTTCTAATGGTATTAAACATATACAAATATATAATCTAATAAAATATAATTATAATACAGTAATATAATGCATAAAGATGAATGTACATGAATACGTAGTTGACCGGATAACATGATTTTACTGACTGGTAGCTTTTAAAGTAATTATGCGATTATCATGGTTAAAATAGCCGCTTAACGTGAAATTAAAAACAATAATTAAACCGAGAAGTCAAAGTCGAAGTATTGCCTTTCAACATAGACCGTTGATGTTTTGTGAAAGATATTGGAAATTAAAATGAGCTTCTCTATGGAGATTCATGCCCTACGAGTTTGGTCATCATTTGTTTATATTGGTCTGTCCCCTGGGCCATGTAAAACCTTCCATCAATTGTTGACATTGCACATCGAAAAACATCTGATTCGTTTGAAAAGATTTCCTGTGGCTTGGTGTCAAATAGATTATACAAATACAGCAAAAACATTAATCAACATATATGGTGATTAAAGCATACCGCGACATCAGCTCATTCAAGTAGGTTCAACTTGGATGCATTATCTGGCACAGCGTACGTAAATGCAGGTTGCACCATAAACGCTTGATTGATTACATAAATCCATTTGTATCGGAAAACGGATTTCCAGCATCTCGAACAAATATTTATCCTAAAACGGTCCTGAACTATTCAGATTGCAGTCTACCTGACAAGTGAACGGTCAGATAAAAAAATCGTGATGAAAAAAACTCGCAAAGGCGAAACGTTCATTGATTCGATATTCTAAAACAACATGTTGCATCGTTTTATCCCCGGTGTATATGTGAAAATTCAACGAACGCAGTGTCTTAATGTTTGTCTGCACTAATCATCATCATGAAAAAAATCAATGTTAATAAAATAAAGAAAATATTTGTATCGTAAGTGTATTATAAGTTGTAACGAGCTAGGAGCGAGACCGTAACCTAAATTCGTTGGGAGGATAGAGAGTGAGGGTGCAAGGCATTGAGTTATATGCAGAAGTAACCAATTCGCCACCTGAACGAGACAATGTCAGTTTCTATCCACACAGAACAGAATCGAACGATTTCTCAGTCAGCCCCGGATCATGCTCGGCCCGTTTTAACCGACAATCTATGGAGGACGTACCAAGTCAGTCAACCATACGATTCGTTCAATGTTTTGTGCCCTTGGATTATGCGAAAGTATGGTTTTGTTGTCCAACCACATAGATGAACGACGCATACAGCGAATTGATTTTATCGCTCATGTCACAAGTATCAGGGATCATAGGATGTGGGATATTGCTTGAATAAAATTGGCTCTTTTGTTTACGAACCATTCCTATTCTCGCCAAACAGGCATATTGTCATGAAGCAGGATTGTACTCTAACTNTTCCAACGCCAAACTCCTGTCATGGAAAGCTTATCTGTCACCTGGTCGACGATGACCATAAATACTATTGAAAAATAAACCAGATCCAATTAAGGCCAGATTCGCCCTGCAGAACGTGTAAACGGTGTACAAAATCCTATCATTTTTAAACAATAAATAATTCTTGCAAAAGGTAATCCCTTGGTCAGAGGGTTGATGAACATTCTAATCCAATTATTTTAGGAATCAAAACAATATGTGAAGTGCTACGGTTGTCGTTAGTTCTCTTTTCCCCCACGTACAGCATCGGTAGGCTATATGGGTGACTATTCATCTAGTTCGTTTTAACCACTAAAAGCCGCTAAGACTCATTATCTGCAATAACCCCCATCCGTTTTTAGTTTGACCCGCTTTCAGGGCCAACNAACAACAAATCGATACATACTATCGCCACTCTTACCATCATTTTTCAACTGTCATCATTACCGGGTTGTTTAAACTTGATTTTGAAAAAAAAACGGGTGGGCTTTTATTTCACATATGATCGGGTTGATGAAAGGAGAAAAATGTCAGTTGTTTTAACTGAAACCTAAAGTTCAATAGTTTTCTGAGCCACTCAGTTGTCTAAGTACGTCTTTGAAGATTATGGCTATTATTTCAGCTACATAAACACCCATTGCATTCAGAAGTGATAAGTAGTATTAGGCGCTATTTGAGTGTTGCGTCAGGGAATGCGGATTTGTTGAACCACATCACACCCAACCGAGCACCAAATTACGGAGTTAATCGTATCCTAAGGAGGATTTTGAATCAATTAGCTCAAGGATAAAGAAGTTCAATTGAGGACAGTAGTTTCAACAATCTCAAAGGGATTACTACTCGCTATTCCGGTACAAGGTAGGCGAAAGCAAGAAGACCAAAATCGAATGGGCACATAAAAACGACAAGAATCGAAGTGTTTATTCCGTGTTCAAAACAATGATGAAATCAGAACGCTTTGATGAGTTCAGTTCTCATAGTTGCATAACATAAAGGTAACCAAACCACACACAACACTGCAAATATTCTACACTGTGGATTTAAATTCAAATTGTTATGATGGATATAACTTACAAAGACTTCGCTTTTTCAAATCCCATAGGGTGTTGACACTTTGGTTCGGATCACGATTCACAATATCACAGTTTTTCCATGAAAGTAAAGTAGTAAGGTAATGTTTTGACGAGCACAGGAGAATATGTTATGTAGTTGGGTGTTGAAACGTAATGTTTCCCAGAGCATCATCAAGCTGACGCTTGGAAGATACTAATGTTGGTGCACAGACCACGTGAGCTGGTAGAGAGTTCCATGTGATGCACACTCTGACTGTAAATGAGTGACGTCTGCAGTCGAGACGGCTCTTTTGGTGTGCCAACTTCAGCGGATGCCCTCTGAGATGAACGTTGTGCGATAAAACCAACAGAGATCTGCATGGATGGTTGGGTTGTTAGAAAATCTGATAGAGTAAAATCATGTCGCCTCTGATTTGACGATACTGGGATGACTATAGCCCCAGAAGCTGTAATCGTTCTCCTTTAGGTCTTGGAATGCAAACCTTTGACCATTTTGATAGCCATTCTCTGCGGATGTTCGAGTGCCTTCAGATCTCGCTGCAGCCATCGGTTCCAGGCTTGAATTGAGTACTTGTTGCCCAACACACCAAACCTTGTGATAAGCTGGTTTGTACGATACTGTCCGATCTCTTTAACTCCCTAAGCCTGCGTTATCTAATTATATTTCCATCTCCCTTACGCGTTACAAATACAAAACCCTCCATCGGAAACAAAAGGATGTAAATACTTCACAGTTTTTTAACTCGCCCTTTTTTATCTCACCCGGACGGTGTTCCTTGGTTCGTTCACAGCTTAGTGTTATCTCTGAAGTCATAGGGTATTTCATCGTCCCTCCATTTTTTTCTGCGGAGCATTTGACAGCTAAATATACAATCGACGGTGTAATAAGACAAGCTCTTGCCGACCTGTTTCCAGTGGTAACAACAGAACTTCAAGGTACGAATAGCTAAAAAATGATTACTTTTTCGTTGGAGCAAAAATTGCACGAAGAAAGGATTTTCACAGCAGCGATAGAGAACATGTTTACTCCAATTATGCGCAAATTATCGAACGGCACAGTCCAGTGCAAATCTATTACAAGGAAAAACAGAGTGCACCCGCCGGTTTTCGAAAAGTGCAACCCGATCGACGCATACGAGGAACCAAACCCAGAAAACTATAAAATGCCTACAAAAATTGGCCAGTTTAAATCGGGCTGGTCTAAAATGAGAACAATTTTTGTTTTTTTGCTCATTGTTGGTGTGGCCCTCAGTGCCCCTGCATACCGGAACCGATTGCGCTATCATGTCAACGCGCAACCCCGAATGGAAAAGCGTTCCGAGACGGAAAAAGAGTCGATGATTCACTTCAAAGAAACCGGTCGAATCGACACTGAGTCCGCGAAACGGGAATTGACCTCGATGCCGCAAGAT